GTTGGCTGCCTTCCTTTCGCGCATGCCATTGGATCGCAGAGAGACACGGGATTGGCTGAGACCAGGTGGTCCAACATGTCCGCGCCCTAATCCGACGCCACACCACAGCACGACAGATTGCACCACAACACCACACGGTATATTCTTGTTGTTCTCTTTGTGGTATGTTTGGTTTGGAAGAATCTTGTGGTAAATTAACCGCAGCGGATGTTGAAGAATTAGCCAAATCGCGCTTTGCGAAAGAACTTAATGGATTCATTATTACAGTTGCTGTAATTTATGCAGGTGAGAATAGATATTTATTTTCCTACTTTTAGTTGCTTTTTTCACAAACCCTTAAGCTTTTCTCATCGTTGCATAGCATATTTTCTGGGCATCAAGACGATGGATCATATATGTACTGGTGCTCGGCTTTTATGACTTAAATAAATCAGGACGGTTTATACATATTGTTCTGGTGTACGCGTTCTGTCAGTTTCCAGTTAATTCTGTCGAGGAAATTTCCGTTACTCTCGAAGAATCTAATAGGTATTTCATATGTGTTGGTTTATGCAAAGAACTATACGTGAGACTTTAGTCGATCCCGTTCGTTACGCATTCCATCTTAGGCCTAATTTACTCACTCATTACTCGAGCTGATCTGCGTGATGAGTCCTTTCTTTGGATTAAGTGTATTTCTGCAAAGCCTTAGCTTTGTTTCATAACTTGCGTTTATCGTCAACTAGTGCAAAATCGTGCAGTTACATTTAGTGTCGACTCACAGGTGGCGTCTTAGCAAAGCTACTTCCGAAAAACTCATTCACATTTCGTCCGTTCCACAATTTACCATCTGGTATTGACCAATAACTTTCATTACTTTGAATTTGAGGATTGCGAATCCCCGCAGATGTGACAAACACCAGTCGTAAAGCAGTTTTAAGGAATCATCGCTAGTGCGTAAATAGCACGCAGTAGAGAAGCACAAATTAACAGCCAGAGGTTGAATGGTGAAAGTCTTAGGAGCGAATCACTAGTAAGTCGGTAGTTAGGCCTGGGCGTCTTCATCACATCGATATATCTGGTATTGCACATACTTCTAATAAACATTTCGTTGCTTTTGATAGGACCTGCTCTTTGTCAGTTTCGTTCCCAAGTACTCAAAACCCGGTGTACTTGGATTCCCGACATAACAAAAACATTAAAAACAAAATTAGTAATAAGGTACGTAATAGAATATGCAGACAGACTGCTTGCTGCCTCTTTGTTCACGTATAAATTACACAACGTGTCGCAAGACACTAACGACTAGTAAATAAGAATTAGGTCAAAATTTGTGACTGTGAAAGTACAAGTGTTCACGACACGACTCGGATTCGGGGTCACGTATAGTTTCTGAAGGTTATGTACATGTTTGAAGTCTACTTTAGGGAGATGTCCTCGAATCCATCAAATGCGTCTCAAATAATGGAGCATACAAAGAGGTGTTGATTGAATTTAAGGGTTTTTACTTAGGTATTCTCTCAAAAGCTGATCCACTGCGTCACCATCGTACGAGGATGCCCTCAATTCCTGTGAGACAAAAAAGAAAAGTGCGAATAGCAACCAAACAGAATGACTCAAGAACTTTTACTATAAGCATAACATACACTGAAGTAAATATGGCAACCCGAATTTACACGAAATTGTGCACAGTGTATGCTAAAACCAACCTCATAATCCTATCACAGAATGTGTAAATGCTTTTTACAAACAGCAGGATAATGTAAGTAAGTAACCGTTAACGGTCCTAGCAACAATAATGAATTTCACGTACCGGTGCCGTTTTATCTAAAAGCCTAACGACATCCCTCCGAAGGTTTTGTAGCGTTTCTCCAAAGACTTGAGTTTCTTGTTGAAAATTCGATAGCAGCTATGGGTGATAAAAAATGAAGCCATGTGAACATTAAATTTGCAATAGGTGTCTTTAAAAGTAAATCATCCTTTTAAATTAAAATAACTCACTGAACGCAGTCCCTGTTCGTAACGATCAAAGAATTCTTCAAGCGGAAAATCGGCCAACTCGGATTCAGTTAAGGTGTGTATGCGGTCCTTTTGCATGGGCCATTGGGGAGGCAGGAAATACCGCAAGCAAATTCTACAGCACACAATAGTTTAATACAGTTAGTTACTCTGGGGAGTGCTGCAGAAATTTAGTAAGTTTTGGTCTCTCACCAATTTAAAAAATATAATATAAGCCTGTTTACAGGCATTTAACTCACTTCAATTTTTCAATAATTTTCTCCATATTGACGACTGCCTAAAAGTTAGTGGATGCAGTTTAACTTCTCCAGAATACTCTAAGATGTGCAATAGCCGAAGCAAGCTAAAGCAATTTAGTTACCTGGCCATCTCCACTAGCTGTTGCTTGCTCCGTAGATATGTCCCTTATAATTTCCCCTTTCCTAAAATAATAAAAACAGGGAGGGATGCTTTTTGAAACCGGACACTTTTCTTTAACCCGTCGACCCGTGTGAATTGAGGTTCAAAATAATTTACCAGCAATTCCCAATCCGGCAAGTCCCGCTTGTCATAGTAAGCGCTTTTACAAGAACACCTCCAGCCCTATCTGAGTGAGATGATCCAGAGAAGTCTGATGCATGAAAATAATTTAAACTTGTTTGGTGGTGAGGGCTAAAATCGATGACGATTACTACAGGAATCGCCCAAGGATACGAGGACAAAGAACGCTACTGCAGTAACTGCTCTGGGGTTCCTGAAAATACCCTGCAGGCATCGAGTTCGGGCTTGCTACGTTTTATTTAGCAGAGGTAAATAGCAAACAAACAATGAACGGGAGACCTGGTGTCAAGCCAAGCAGATCAAATTCATGAAATAAGAGAAATTCACCTAGCGGATGATTGAAATGGGGTTATAGAACAATGATTCATCCGAAAATAGCGAGGAATGATATGCAAATAACGAGTGCAACCAAGCTTTAGAAATATTAGTGATTTCCTCGATGGTAAGCTCAGTTGAGTGCTGTCGTCAAATAGACCTTTCGATTTCGGATAAATTTTAAAAGGGCTTCACAAAACGTCACCAAAAAGATGGCAAAAAGCATATCCGTGTAAGGAAAACGTAGACCGGAGAGATTGTGAATTAATCAGGCATTTGGGAAACCACTATCCCTAGAATAGTTCGAGTTAAACAGTACAACTGACAAAAAGCGCGATCCCTTATAAAGTGGCCCGAAATCATCTACTTCGCCGGTTTTTCTTGCTGATCGTAGAAATATCAGTACAGATCTCTGTTAGCGATGTCACTTGCCCTGCCACAATTGCATTGGATAAAGTTAAAGCGATAACAAAAGGCAACCCACCTCTTCGATGTGGTATCTGGAGAGAATTTAGTGACTTCACCATTCGCGATAAAAGACGAAGTCTTGGCATTGGCCTCAGGCGTTTTCAACTCATTTGGAGCCGTCAGATCTCCTGTGTCCTTGTTTAGAGTACTCTTCAGTACATTGAACGACATGATCTGAAATAAAATTAAATGTGAAATTGTCTCGTGTGGCTACACAGTGTGATTCTCTTGTAGTGAATAGTGTTGATTTACGTTCACCAACTTTGGCGTCGCGGAATCCGACATACCGCTCCCCTTTTTACGGTGTGTCCGTCAGTCATACAGAACCATTTTAGCACGCATCCATGTGCATATACTTAATCCGCTATTACCGTCATTCATCTGGCTATTCAGTCATGCTTCAACTGGTTCACTCAAACCGTATAGGTCAACATGTACATTTGCCATGCACGACTTAGAACACACACACAAGACAACACAGACATGTTGAGCCACCTTATAAACGATTGTGTCGCTGCCATCTGCAGTCTTCCTCCCCCTGAGGATCAGTTCTACGTGATCAGACCAAAAAAATCTTATTTGGATGCTTTGAGGGTGCAAACTAGCTTTGCATAAGTAAAATGGACGGTTTAGTCAAATGGAGCCTAAACACATCATATAAGCGTAATTGGGCTTCTACAGTCGTGTGACATACCGGTTTCGTCAAATGAACGAACCATCTACCTAAAGTAGAAATCCTACCGTGAGGCCACAACATTAACGTTTCTAAAGAAGAGTTTAACACGAAGTTTGGAGACTGCATAAGACAGACGAATTCTTACATAAACATGGGACACTTCTTCAATACAATTCTCGCTATCACGCATGCAATTACCCTCTCCTGTGCCAGGATTCACTAATAGGGAACGAGATGGTCAAATGGCTACCATATGACAGCATATGCTCAAGAACCGAATCCTGTGAAACAAACCAGTCAATCAATGAAATATAACTCCTACCGTAACGAAATTGTCGATGATGATTGTGGCAAAGTGCTCATTAGTCCAAAATAGCCAGGAGCAAACACGACAAACCGGGCATAAAAACCTGCACAGTTCGAGAGACTCCTTTTTTAGTGGAACCAAAATAGAAGCAAATTATAATTACACTCTTTGCAAAACATAACGGCTGCCACCAACACTTTTGTTTTACTATTTAGTCTCCAAATTTTTCTCTGAACTAGGCAACAAGCAATGTCCAATCGGTGGCGGAAGAATGAAAATCGAAATAAAATCAAACGACTTTGTTAACCAATCACCGGATTTTCAGTTTTGTGCACATCGAAAATATTTTACCAGCACGAAGACCATAGTCATGGCCAACGAAACGCACTGAGAAATGATATAAATCATGAAATGGCAAGGTTATCAGGACCCGACCTGATATCGAAGTTGCATTGACAATGGCCTTTCGAGTGTCAATAAAAATGCAGTTAAAGTTTACACAACAGGCTGGCTATAAATGTAGTTAAAACAAAATCCAGTCCCTAGGAAAGTAGCTAACCCCAGTCTCAACGACACGATTCCCGGAGTTTCTCGTTTGTGGATAGGGAAGCACGATTATATAAACGCACCTTTGTCTGGGTATTACTTTCCCCAGAGCCTGCGGTTGAGGTGGTGTCAAAAGGTGGAAAAGTAGTTGCTGCTTGGCCGTTGTTCGTAGTTGAGACCACTGTCGCCTCGTTGAGCTTTTCCCTTAAAACCTCTTCATCGTCCTCTTCCGCAGTACTCTCTTCTTCCGACTCTGAGCTCTGGTCGCGAATTATCCGACGGGAGGACTAGATTTTCGAATTAAAATATACACTGGTAGTAAAGTAATGCCGGGAGGTTTCGCTACTTATACCCAGTATGAACAAGGTGCTTCACTGTGTTGGCAATGCTACAAGTCCAAAGGACTTCAAGCCAAAAACATAAATCACAAGACCACAGAGGGTTGCGAAAACATTTGAAACTGGTACAAAGTGATGTTCTAAGGAAGATTTGGAAAGCAAGTTCATAACCACTCTCAAAATGGAAAAATATGGGACATCTCGAACTAACAAAACCCATGAACAGGTGCCGGTAAACAGAAAAACATAATTACAACAGTATTCACTTTATTATTTTGCATCACAAAAACATTTGCCATAACATGCCAAGTACCAAGGGATTGTGATCAAGTCGTGATAATTGAACCGAAAGAGCATTGGCATGACGGTAGTTTGACACTTTCACTGCTCCTAATGTCTTTCTCTTTGGTTAACTCGACTAGAGAGAAACCAGTTTACCAATGATAACTTTGATTCAGGACAACCACACACCAGATGAAGCCTTATAAATTACAACTCATTCAAAGAAACACAAAATGTAGGGAATGATAATCTATAATTCTAAATTGATTCGCCATGAACCGGATTCCAAAAGGTAAAAAATTAATTAGTTGAGAAATCCAAGGTGAATAGATGTAACCAATTGAGAAAAAGCTAGTAATAAATTACAGATGAGACGAGTTCGTCATAAGTGCTAGTAAATACCTAAACTAATAACAGAATCCACTTACAGAAACACGGGTGCTGCGAGACTGATTGACATCAGAGGAGACAGTCGATCTGGAAGAAACAGAGGCAGCTTGTCTCGATTTTAAAAGAGGTGGTCGTCTGGGACTGGACTTGGCTGGCGTGGTAGTGGGCTGAGAGCCCATCCGCTTCCTGTCGGCAACCGTGATGGTTCGTCCGGTGGGTGATGCGGCGGTTGAGTGAGCCTTCTTGGCAGGCTGATGGGGGGGCGAGGAAGCACGTGACTGGCGTTTGCTGGAAGCCCGACCACGGAAAGAGGGTTCGTCGTCTGGATCAAGGATTTGCTCAAGTTCTTCCTAAATAGCATAAACACGAAATTAATTCAACCTGCGAGTTGTTTTAGGCATAGACTTGTTGTGAACCAAGTTTACACACACACACACACACACACACACATTAATCCGGTAGCTCCGCCCTCCGACACAGGGTTCCCCTGTTCGCAGCATGTCGCCAGCCGCACGGATCCCCAACTCCCCCCCTCATTCGCATGAATATTTATCTTGGATTATCCTCACCTAGGCCTCGATGTTGGCGCATCTATAACTTAACACAAACTTAACACAACGACATCAACGTGGTTGAGCTCTGAAGTAAACAGTTGTGTCCACGTCCTCTCCGGTCTTTTCCTTCATCGCGGGTATCAGGGAAACGTAATCGGACCAGGGTTAGTTCCGTGTCTCGGGCGTAGTTCAAGTCCACATTATGGGATTCACAACAGACACACTGTTGAATTGAAAGGACAAAGTGGGGTTAATTTCCCCAAAATAGAAAATCTCTATCAGTACCTGCTTCTTTCGAATTTGGGCCTCCAGTTCGGCTTGACGCTGTTCTTTGGTCTTAATTTTCCGCTTGAGAACACCCATAGGCGGGCTCATATCTTCCTCCGGAGTATCACACCTACACCAAAAGGAAGTAAACATGACGCAAAAACTGAAATTTTAGCATAAAATACACATCAAACGCAGTTAAGGAGAGGTCTATGCGTGGGACTAACATCTACACAAGGGGTGATTGTTGGAATGTAATTAGCACCGCAGACTGAGCCACCCTTAAATGAAGTTAACCTCAAACGAACCCCTCTAGAAGACCAGCTCAAATTCAATTTTTGTGATTCACGAGTCCTATGGCATTAGTCGTTCTGGGAAAGGGCGATCGTTTCTGAGTAGGTGGATGATAGCACTTCCGAAGTCCGGAAAAGCTTAATATTGAAACATGAATTGTCAGTGGGATCTTATCAAACAAACAATCAAACATTTCAAGGTAATGGACAGATTGAGAGTATTCGATAGTGAACTACGATTTGACTGGTGTTGGGGCTCACGAGTAACGACGGAGACGTGGGCCGGCACCGAAGACGGATCATTTTCCAAGAAATCGACAAAAGTAAAGTAATGATAATCGTTGGCGTCAGGGTAACTTGAGGCTGCAAGGTACATGAGGCGCCCCAGGATGAAAATCAAGTTACGGTAGATAATAGCCAGTTTGCTCAGCTATCAAATCAAGCACTGTGTCATGTTCTTGAAAAGGTGTAAACAGCCGGGGCATGTGTATGCAATGGGAACCAGGGGGAACAAGTGAACGGATGGGGGCAGGGTAAACACTGGGTTAGGTCAAGTATAAACGGCGGTAAAAAAAGGCGGGTCAAGAATACTGAGTTTAATTTGGACTATTCAGTTTTATGAATTTTAGCAAGATTGGTAAAACTTAACAAGTTATGGAAAGTTCAAAACAAAGCAAATTAAATCGTGTTGGGAATAGATGATTCCCCAAGATGGCTAATCGCCGATTTCGTCATTATTTGCACCATTCCCCTAACCACACCACCAGTGTGTACAGCACCCACGGCAAGCTACTTAAAGCTCATTTGTGTTAGTCCGCCTTCATCCAACAGGTCAAGAACATCCTCCATTTATATAAGAGAACACATTCCGACATATCACTCGGCCATTGGCTGAGACATTAAAGCCTCTTTGCACGAGGACTTGTTTTGTACCAGTGAGAAAAGATGGAGGCTAACGTCAGACAAGGGGTCTGGGGTACCGGTAATCTGAGTGTATAGGTCATGGTTAGGGACAAAAAATAACACACTTCGGTGAGGAAATGCGTTAGAGACTAAGTCTCCGTCTGAGATTTGAAACAAATAACAGTAGGCATCCGTGGGCACAAGGACACTAATCTTGAAAGTGAAGAAAATCCGGATTGGAGATGATTTACAATTTACTAGTCAAGATTATCGATTTGCCTCATGCAGGAAAACCTAAACCAAATCTAAACATAATCAAGTTTCTGAGACAAGATTTTTGATTAAGAAATCATCCCGCTCCGAGGTTTGAGAGGTAAAGTTGATAAAAGAATCAAAAGTGGAACAATACCTCCGATGTTTCTGGTCGGGATTATCTCGACATTGCCAGTTGTCGGGGACATCACGTCCAACTTGATTTTGTGAGTACGGTAGTACTCTCCACTTGAGGCACTTGTCTGAGCAGAAGTTGAAATAAGAAGTAGATGTGGTAGGTTACAACCACCAGTGATCACATGATGGACTTAATTTGTAAAAGATATTTCACTACAATGAACAACTGAGAACCATGGACTTGAATATGCCGATAGAAGTCATTTGCTTAAAAAGCTTGAAGTTCGCATTTAATGTGCAGACCTATCACCACCTGTACCCGGTCGGTTTTAATGAACTTCAAAACACCATTATTTGCACATGACTCCTGTTTATGTAAATCAGGGAATTCGAGAACTACCAATCCCTATTCAGGCTAGACTAATTTGCACTACTAATATTAAGAAAATTAATTACAGAAACCTATCACCGAATTAGCACGAAGTACATTGTTTTGTCGAGTGAGCCAAAGACCTGTGCCACGAGGGCTGAGGATAAATGCATCTTAAGCATTTAAATATTGCTAGGAGCAAATACGATCTCCATTGGAAACATCTCAATGCCGGGTTAATTTTTTTAGCTAAATAACATTATTACTTTTACAGGACAGCAATAGCTTAGGAAATCGGTGTCGTCAAAACAGGTAGTATGTGTGAACTCACCACATTGGACACAGAGGGAGACACAGGAGTACCGTTTGCGAGCATACTTTTCCTCGTCGCTGGGTGGATCTCTCCAGCGAGCCGAGAGATAGCCGAAACTCTTCCAAAACCGGTTCGTGTCCTCATTACCATTTTTGTCGATGGCCAAATCATCCCAATACTGCATGAGGTGGTCGGCCATTGCACGCATCAGCTGACGAAATTCCTTGGCATCAGCGAAGTCCTGCTTGTTGTGAGTTGGCTCTAAATTAGAAAAACTTCCTTCTCAGGAGAGATTGTGCTCACAATAAAAATTAACGGAGACACGACACGGTTACGATAGAAAATGCAACAAGAATGTAATGACTACTATACACACCTTGCATAAGTTAATCTCATCCAAGTGAGGGGCATACGAAAAAAAAACAAAAAAACCTGCGTATGGCAATCCTTTTAGAGACTTTGCATTGGCCAGGATGAAACTTCCAATAAACACTCCTCGTCAACAAAGTGATGAGTGTACACAAGCTACATTTTTAAACACACACAGTAATCCCAAAGGGCATTTTTGCAGTCGAGTGCCGATGGGACAAGTGGTTTAAAAACCCATGCTGACATCAAATATTACGCCATAAATTTAAACGACGCAATAAAACATACTGACAGAATCGACGATAGACACGTGGATTGTCGTGTAATTTTAAATGTCAACATTCGGGCACTCAGGAACCGCTGCCACAGAGAAAGAGCCAATTACGACATAGAAAGGAAACCTTCCATCAAGTGACCCATCGTCATGACGCAGCAAAGTGCATGCGGCTTGCAAACTCAAATAAACTAAATGACACACCGGTCATTAATCCCCTCGACTTCAAATGAAAGCATAGCGAATACAGTGACGCAATTCGATGCCACAAGTCGACCAATAAACGACAACCCATTTACTGCATGATTCGACAAATCACCACAATGATCAACATGAATAGAGGGTAATGATAAGACAAGTTCCAAAACTAACGTCTTGAAGGAGGCACATGCATCGCAAGTGGCCATAAATTACACCGTTCCGGTTAAGTTAATTCAATTAACGCCCTACAACAAGTGATCGGGTCGTGAAAGTTGACAGGCCCGACTTCTGTTCTTGCAATGCCATTTCAAAAGATATCGATTAAAATTATCCAATTTGAGTAAAGGCGAGCTAGTGGAGAAGGCTTACCGAGCACCATGTAAGGAACATCAACAATTCCCACAACACCTCGGCACATCATGCTGGAATCCTGTTGAGGTCCAATCCGCTGGTACATTTTGATCAGACGGGAGCAATTGTACACGAACATCCCATCACAGGCCCGGTTAACAACGTTCATGCCAAAATAAAAAGTCAACGTTTTAGGATCCTTAAGCGCCTTTTGTTTCCGAGCCACTGTATTTTGCTTCATTACAACGAGACTTCGCATTTCCGCAGCAGCGTTGCTCAAACGGCGAATTAATTTCTAAAACAAAGCTAATTGGGTCAGAAGGGGACTGTTTTATCGAGGACATTGTCCAGTCTCCATCGACACGCTTGCATCATTCCCCCCTTTGGTCCTATTTCACCAACCACTAAAAACAATTACAGAATATCGCATCACGACCAAATCCACCCAGGTTCCAGCTCAACTCTAATCGTAACCAAAATGTACTAATTCTCATTGGACCTTTCACTAGTGACTTACAAAGACACATCCAAGGGACAGCGTCTTCAAGGCAGCTAAACATTAGTACTTTGACAGATACCAATTTCCAGTGTGTTTGATCCCTTGGAATACAGGACATCTGCCACACCAGAGTATTCTCGACAATGTACCCTTTGCGTGACTATACCTCTAGCGGATGGACCTCGCCTAGGCAGCTGCCAAATGATTAGCATCAGCAACCGATTAAGGGAATTGTGAATTAGTTTATCAACCATCGGTCTTTCAGAAACAATCCCAAATTCATCTGCATTGAGCTCCACATAAGCTGTGTGTACAGACTATTAGAGGAATTCTACCACGTCAAGAAATCCGGTAACTGCACCGACGGAATCACGTGTTCGACTAGATCATGCTCCAAGAAACACCTAGACGCTAATAACTAATAGCTAGGAATGTATGCTCAACTGCACACATACAAGGTGTTCGGGATCCCTTGAGTTCGCGTACCGAAGTTCGCAGTCGCGTGCCTTGCTTTCAGCTTCCTTGGCGCGCAATTCAGCTGCAAAAGATAAAGATGTGCAGATCTAATTATTCCAACGATATTAAGGATAAAAAAGGAACGTTTCAAAGAACGCCTTATTTAAAGACAGCAATGGTCAAAAAACGAAGCAGCCAATTCTGAACGTAGTTGACGTCACATTAACAAACAAACACAAAATCTACATTTGAAACATTGTTTTTGAAGCAATAGCCATTTGCAAAATACGACCCTAAGCTGCAAATGTTTCAATTGCAATTGGCACCATGTGTCGTTTTTAATATAACTTTCGACGTAGCTACCATCAAATCAACAACAGGAACCTCATTAAGAGATTATAAACATTTCATTATAACAAAAGGCTTAGAACAAATAACAGGCGACAATGCTTGGGTCCCGAAATAACTATCTGACGCTTTACGCAAGAGCATGAGAAACCCTAAAAAGTATCAGTGGCACATGTTGCATTTGTATGGAAGCACCATAAAAATCCCGCGGAAATTACGCCTGAAAAGCTTAATTTCATTTGCCTTACTTCCTACAATTCGGTTTACACGAGAATTTCCTGGTTATCTAGTATCTGATGGATCGAAGTCCACTTTCGCGCATTTTTTGAGACCACCTGATTATTATTACTTAGGGAAAATAAGGCAACCAAGCAGAGGAATGGTGTTTACATGACTCGTGAACATATGAGCATTCTAGGCAAAACCAAATTTACGATTACATTCACAGCGTGCCTGTATTACTTTCAATGAGAGACAATAATACATAATAATTACTTTAGGATAATACACAGTTTCACTCAGGTTGGTAAAATACGACACATGATGTAGCCACGTAGAACAAATTGCTCTCATGATTTGAAGCTACATAAACCATGCCAAGTTCAAATACGATGATTCGAAAAAGGGGCGCTTGGGAAAACAAGTGTAGTCATGATTATTTTCGCCAAACTCATCTTTAATTTTTTATTTGTTAAACACAATTGAAACGCATAAATTTTCCATAAAATCCATGCGGGACTATAGAATTCGGCAACATACGCAAATGAGCATAGGCATAGATGTTTACGATGAAAATATAAAACTGAACATCCTGTGGAAGAAAGCAATGTAAGAGTTGCTTACCAACTTTGACGTCGTTTTTGGATTTGCGAGGTCGCGTTCGGCCCGTGTGCGGAACGTTTTGCTGGCAAAATTGTACCGCTTCACGGCGTAAAGAGTATCAAGAAGTCGTTTCGTTTGGACTTTTCTGCACTGAATATGCACCTTCATCCTTGGATCTGCATAAAGGATCGACACATAAGCTCGGAGACTACGTTTCTCTGGGGGGAGCCTACAAAAAAGCCAACAGTTTTGAAGGACAACTCCAACAAAGTATCCTAACCAACGGCATACTTACTGAATATCTGCGTGAGGTTCCATTAGATCACGCCTATTTATAAACTTTTACATATCTCTGTTCCCGGGTGGTCGCAATTATTCGTCGCCGGCCAAACCAACGCAATGAAACACAGGATTAGCTCAAACACATCGCTATGTAGTTTACCCGAGTACTAGTATAACGAGGAATCGTACAACAGAACAGGCTTTATTGACCAATCATAAGCCAGAATCACGCGTCAAGCGCCGTCCACCCGAGTCCACGACGCTGGATACGATGCAAATTTCATACCACGCCTAAAATGTGTCTGTCTCTGGTTGGCTGCCTATCTTCCGCACATGCCACTAAAATGTAGAGACAAAGGATTGGTAGAGGCCAGCATGGTCTAATATGTCCGCGCCCGTTTTTTAGCACTGAAGATACACAACAGCTAAGACTAATCTACATTGCAAACTTCTACCAAATAACATGGCTCCTAACCAGGTTGTCGTCGGTATTCCTCGAGAAACTGTC